GTATGTCGACCTTGAGTTCACTGAAGAAGAAGTCAAAGAAGGCATGATGACTGAGATGTCATCCTTGATGTGACTTGAGAGCTGCGCTCAAGATGAAATAGACAACGCGGTAGACTGCAAATGGGTAAAGGGTAGGAAGCCTCCACGGAAGGTAAAATGCAGACTAGTTGCGCGCGGATGTTTTCGAGAAGAAATGGACACTGATGACACTTTCGCGTCGACACCCACTCTTGTGACTTTGCGATCTCTTTTCTTATGTCACTGTCTCGTCGCTGGTCTATGATCACTTGTGACATTTGAAGTGCTATTCTTCGCGCACCAATGACGGAGCGACTGTTCACGCAACCGCCTGTTGAGTTCTTGCCTGAAAATAACTGTTTGCGGTTACTGAAGCGTACTCTGTACGGACTGAACCAAGCACCTGCGTTATGGCCGACCCACTTCGCCAAAACGATGGGTTCACTGACACTCCACCGATTCAACACAGACCCTGACCTGTACTGAACTCTAAGGAACTGTATGTACTGTGTTACGTCGACGATCTCCTTGTTTGTGGAAACTCAGACCTAATCAAAACGTTTCTGAACAATTGTCAAACGAAGCTCTTTTGAAAATAGAAGGTGAACTGCAAACGCAGACTTCTGTCAATTTTCTAGGTAGAACACTGCGACACAACGGCGGCAGCGTCGACATCATGATGTCTACTATGTATGTGAAGAAAAGGTGGAAGCATATGGTACGCAAAACGCAAAAACCTGTGAGCACCACTGGAAGCATTACCAAACCAGCTCTTCGAGCGCAACCAGCGACCGCAAACAATATAGAGCGATTGTTGGAACGCTACTGTGGCTTGCGCTGATCAGACCTGACTTGTCGTATGCCACTAAGGAAGTTTCACATATTTGACTGCGCCAACCACTACAGCCAAGTACTTGCTCAGATACATTGCTGCTACTCAGGACCACTGTCAACGACTGTGTCATGTCAAACCCAGACTCTCAAGTGGACATTGACTGCTATGTTGACTCCGGTAGGAAAACCGCAGCAGCGAAGAACTGCTTGTGAAGAACCTGTTTGACCATCCACGGAAAATGCAATCGTTTGAAGCGATATATACACGTGTTCTTGCAGATGAAGTCGAAGGGTCGTCACTGAGTCCTCACTTGTCCAATGTCTGTTGCATTCTTCCAATGGAACCATGCGCTTGCTTCCAGTCCTTGAAGCTCCAACGCTCATACCTCCAAGTTGGTTCACAGTGTCAGGGACCAGTGCAGTGCAGGTTCGTCACATTGCAGAATTCTAAAAATTCTGCCAGTCTCGTGGGTAAATTTCTTCAGTTCAGCTACGCTATATGCATGTCTTCATTTGCTCGGAACAACCTGTAGGCAGTCCAGTCTGAACAACAGTCGCATTCAGAATTGTCCGTTGTTGAACATCCTGTCCAGTTGTAGCGAACGAGTAGTCAACTTGCATGACAGGCTGCCTGCCAGTGTTTCATTTTCTCTGTCGCTGTTTTCTTTTTGCGCGAGCACAGTGTTCACACCATGATCTATAAATGGCAAGCGTGTCAAACAGTGTTTCGCTCGCTGCTGTGCAATTGGTTCATTAGGGCCAGGCAGTGCTTTAGCAATGCGCGCCGCTTTGTCGCGCGATTCTTGTTCAACAATGACTTCCGTTTGGGATCGTTCGCGAACAGTGAAGCCAGTCCAAATGACAGGCGGCACCAGTGGTGCCTCAGTGCCTCAATCTGATCCTCAGTTAGCGCGGAAGAAAGCAACCGTTCTCAAGTGTCCTAATTCTGAGTGGTCCGGTCCAATGTCGTCCGGAGTGAACAAGTCTTCTCACGCTGCGTGGTGAAAAGGGATCCAGGCAACAGGTGTGCGCAGCCAGAAATCTGAGCCGGGCTCAGGCCGCCGCGGTGACATCTTTGTTCTGGCTCTCTTTAGTGGGTGGAACACAGTTCTACCTTTCCTGTGTTCCTTCTTCATTTCATTTGGATTGTCCAAGGTCCTGAAGACTTCTGAAACAGTCGCTACATTACCGTCTCCAAAGTCGAGCGTACCAGTCCAGCGAGACAGGACAGTCTGATCTGTTCGGCATGAACACGGTTATTCTTGGTCCCTTATGAATCGAAGTCAGTGTGCTTTTCGCCTCATACAATTGCAAAGTGTCAGTGTGGTAGTATGGCTTTGGTCGACAGGCGTTGATCAGTACTTTCAGTTGATGTACCGTGCTCGCGTTCTGTTGTGGTTCACACATTTGAGATCAACGGCCAGTGTGGTCATGCACTCCTTTACAGTTTCGCAGTCTTTCTTTAAGGATCATTTCTCAAGCGTTGTCTTGACAGCGCTAGTCATCAAGTTCACAGTTCCAGTGCATGGATGAATGAGTGCAGTCCATCTGGTTCAGCGCAGTAAGTTCTGCTGGAGTCTCAGTCACAGTCTCTTTCTCAGTTGGCTTCTCAATACTTGATGCCATCTTGAGACGCAGTGCAGTTCTCCTTCTAGGAGTCAGTCAAGTAATCTCGCGACGAGGTTGGAGTCTGTCTGTCTGTGAGCCCAAAGTTTGGCGAGTTATGAACAATAAGTGTTGAAAGTGGCGGTCCGCAGTTGAATTCTCTCAAAAGACTATACAGTATTGAAAACAGTCGCGCAGCTTTAAACAGTATCCTACAAAACAATTCGAAAGTGTCTTCGTGAAGCAGTGCCTTCTAGTTCGAGCTACAAAGCAAAGCAACAACATGAAAGTCCAACACCAAGTCTACCTATGTGTGATTTCCATTTTTTCTCCATCCCAGTACTTAGTGAGGGGATCGGCGCAGTTTACAGTAGTATGTACTTTCTTCAGTTGGAGATCACCGCGCGCAACTAAGTCCTGCGTGTACAGAAAACAAAGTTCAATGTGTTTAGGTTTCTTTCCAGAACCGCAACGCGACGCCCAGTGAGTTTGGCTTGCTTCGTGAGTTTGGCGTCAAGCAAGATGTTCTTTGCAAAGAGCGCTTCTGAAATTCCTTGTCCATTTGCATGCAGTTCAGCTTCACCGGATGACAGTGCCATTTTTTTGAATCAGACACAACGGGGCAGTCAAGCAGTTTGACGACAATTCCAGAAGTTGATTTCCGAGTCCGATGGCATCCGGCCCAGTCTGACTCAACATTCCAGTTCAAGTACACAATGATTTCCGCTAAGTGTGAGGGTGGGTCGAAGTCGAAGTACATGTTCCTTAGCGCCAGTCAAATACGCCAAATACCTTAGCAAGTGTTTCAGTTTGCGCACGCTTCGATGAGTCGGCGAAGTCAGGTTGCGTGAAAGTTCCGTTGTAGCGTATGACTCATCTGGCCTTAATCAAAGTTAACCAAAGGAGTTTGCCAACAGCAGCTCGGGATTTCTTGCGTTCTTCAGCATCAAGTGGTTCATCCAAGTTTGGTTTGACAGAAATGTTCCAGCCGTTTGCGATGCCTTTGCTTTCGTCATGTCACACAGTGCAAAAGTCTGTTCAATGTATTTTGGTGACATCGTCAAGTCGATGCTGTCTCCATTGCGTTTCAAGATTCGTCCAAGAAAGTTTACAGAGTTGAGCCCAGCCTCAACTTTCAACAGTAATTGCTTCTTTCTTCAAATCATCAGTGAATTTCGTGGTCAATTCCGCCTCTCCACAAGCAAGTGAATCATCAACGTAACACACAGCATACAATGTGACGTACAAAGCACCTGACTGACGTGTGGCAGTAGAGGTTCGGATCGGCCTTCCAGTCGACCAGCAGTGATTCCATTCCTCTTCAGTCCAGTCCTCTTGTTCAGTCTCGTTCACATCTTTGATTCCCTTGACAGTTCGACTGTCCTTACTTGAGTCTTGCCACTTCCTCTGGAGTGGGCCAGTTTGCCTCGTCCTCCTTTCAATCTTCCTTTTCCTTTCAGGGGTGGCCAATTCTTTTCAAGGGAAATCATTTTCCACGTCCCTTACCTTTCAGTTTCAGGGGAGACCATTTTCCACTTCCCTTACCTTTTCCTTTTCTTTTCCTATACATCGCGCGCCAATGTCCAGTCACACCAGAGTTGTTTCCTTTCACAACGTGTCTAAGCTGAGAGTAGTCCTTGATGACTTGCCTCACAGCTTCATACGCGTCTAAGGTCTGCGCGTTCAGTTGCAAGTGCTGTTGCAGCTGCCCGCTTGTCTTGTTCAGCAGTGTGGCTACCAGTATTGAGTCGGGCAGTTCAGTGGCTGTTTGTCGCTTGTACCTGTTCTTCAGTTGTTCCCATTCAGTGTAGTCTTGATCAAAGTGGTCGGTTCGAAACCTAAAATCCAATACTTTTGTCAACAGGCTCACATTATTCGCAGTCTTAGGCAACGCGAATCTCCTTGCTAGTAAGCGCCAAGATTCAAGCCCGTTCAAACTCATGTTTGCTCGAACTACCAGTCTTGCACTATCTTTAGTGATCAGGCTCAGCAAATAATAGAGCTGTCTACTGAGCGTCGCTAATTCATCTAGTCTTTCTTCAGTAGCTTCGATCGCCTGCACATCTTCACCAGTGGTCGGATGAGCCGCTTCATCAAATACTCTCAAAACATGTCATTTGTACATTGAAACATAGCTTCTCACATGCCATGACCAGTCTTCCCACTCCTCTATAGTTCCATCGAGAGTCTCGAGCAGTGGTCAAAAGCGGCCATGCCTACGGCTCTCAGTCAAGTAGTGAGGGCCAATCTGCCTCTTCCACGGCCACCTTTGTCTCAAGCACAGTAGCTCCGCTACCATGAAAAATTCAAATGCTCAATCTCGTAGTATCAAACAGTCTCTAGTTCCACAGTTCACGAAGTGATCACTCGAATCCTTTCAACTGCAGTGTGGCTATGGCTCCAGTGTCCACTAGTGCGTGGGGCCTTGAGCCAAGCGTGTAAAGTGTACAGTGACACAGTGGCATAGTGACAGTAGTCATCAGTGAGTGAGAGTGTCCTTTCACGCAAACAAACAAATAAACAAACCTGTTCCAAAATCACCCGTCCAAGTCATTTGGCCAGCGGCAGTGCTCGTCCATCTAAGCGTTGGTCTCACAATCGACCTGAAGCTTTTATGATGGGATCCGGGAGCGGTGCACAAACAAAACGGTCTATAAAAGATCCCGCTATCAATCAACCCTGTTGTGACTGCATTGTCAGTTGAAGCCCAAGCGGCATCATGCAGGTCGAAACAATTGCCGGAACACATAAGCGCACGGCACGGCGGAGCACCTCGGCTAAACACCGCCAGGCCCCAGGGACATTGGCAATGCAAGTCGCAAACGTGCATACCTAGACAGCGGGGCTGCCGATACTAAAGGCAGTAGCACAGGTTGCGCTATCTCAAAATTATCTGTCTGCTAATTAAACACAATCGTATGCATACAATTCGGCTTCTCAAGGCCCACCAAACCTCTGACAGCACCGGTGCTTAGAGCTCTCCGGAAAATGTGCCTTTGTTCCAAATTATTTTCAAGGATAAGATGCACATTTGCCGGATGTGTCTGATTGTCAAGACAAGCATCGTGTTCCACGAGTCGAACCAATTTACTCTGTCCCCCAAACTGAGGACGTGCCGGAACTCCTCCAACTATCTAAGCTTTTATGAAACTCTAAGTCTAAGTGCGTTAAAGAGGAAGCCCAGTTTTGGGATATCGTGGAAACACCTGACATCGCATTGCATTCCCCACAAATCAAACAATGTTTCTTAAGTTTGTTGCCTGCTGTGACAACTTGCGGGCAGCAATTTGACTTCATCAGAGCTGAAGTCATAATGTCAAAGGGAATTGGATAAGGACTAATTTCTTGCTGAATCCAGCTGGACAAGCATTCACCAGTTAATCATCATATAAAATGACTGTATAGTTCGTACCGGGTGATGCCACCATCGTCATTGGACAAATGCGCACTGGGATCGGGCCATTGCAACCTCTGAATGACCTGCCACACTTGACCGGTGACCCTACGAACCCAAATTTGATGCATGTTCAACCGCAGGATGAAGATCTTCTTCTAGGGCCATTTTGCTTCCTCTACAGTCCAATTAAAATGGTCTCGAAATTGTGCGAGATAGTCTGTTCTCCTGCTTGCGATTGTCTCGCCTCTCGGTCGATTGTAAGCTGGGAGTATAGACTATTGAAGTCCACTGAATACTGACTACTTGTACGTAGATGTAGTAGATGAGGATGATTGACAATATTCGTCCGATTCTTGTATGAATGGAGACGGTATCAGATGCATTGCGAAAGGCTGGACATTCTTGAAATTCTTTCCGGTTGATCATTTTATATAGCTGTCTCATCGGCAACCTGGTTTCCTAGAATCTGAGATGGCTCTGACGGGCCAATTGCTTCTTCCATAGATTGATGGGACTCAACTTTACAAATATTATATTGCTGCAAAAATGTAACTAAGTGCCAAATGAGGAAGCAAAGAATCATGACTGCCGAAGAGTGCTTGCATCCTACTTATGACAAATGCTCAATCGATCCGGAAAGCTTGTAGACACATGTCGGATGATCCACTCCACTGCCTCCAGCTCCGCCCGATTATATACAGTAATGGTTTGATGTCCCTTCACATGGGATGTTTGCACAGCTGAAAAGTCATTTTAGGAAGGATCCTCTGGGAAGTCCCGAACATGCTGAATTTCTGAATCACAGCCCATGCTCCTGAGGCTGGTCACATGTTCCATCCGTGTATATCACTACGTGCGAGTCTTGTGACAGCGGAGGCTGATCAAGAAGAAATCCTGGCCGAAAAATTGTCCAACGATTGCACATTCACTGTTGGGGTTGGATAGTTGACATGAGGATCCAAAGCAAATGCTGATGGTCAGTAAATAGATTTATTGCGTCTCCATGGTTTTGCCTTGCATGTTCAAAATCAAGCCACTCCAATAAGCGATGTGCATGAGTTTCAGGTTGGCCGCAATGGTTACAGTTACAGGTGACTTCCCGCGTTGAATCCCACTTGGCCTTTGTAGCACTACTAAATCCTCCTGTTTTATTTAAAATTTAAACTTAACCAACGTCGTTTCTGATCTGAGGTCTGAGAAGCCAAAAACGGAAAAAGGCTGCTTGCTAACAGGGCACATTTAATGCCACACGCACAGCAGCTTCTTGGGGCGCTCCTTTCGGCCGCTTGGCAATCAAATAGGAGGAGACAATGAAGAACACATCGGTGTGCACCTTGGGCTCAGCATGAGAAGCAAGGGCCACGCATATCCGCCAACCCCCCTCACAACGGGGAAGGTGAAGGAGTATGACGGCCAGGCAACGGCGACACTTTCTTGTAGGGGCGGGGGATCTTGGGCTGGCGTGTCAGACTTTGCGGATTGTACGTGACTGATATTTGAGGTTACATCGTTGCTCCAGGAACGTTTTCGCTTGAGTGAAATTCCTTTTTTTTTTGTGAAATTCTTGTAGGGCAGTCTTCTGGGCCAGGACACTCTTGGAGGACTCGATTGAGTGATCTCCCAATGCACAGTACGGTTGAGGACGGTTGCGAACAAACACGGCCAGAGTTGAGCGAGAACCCTTCACTATGCTTTTGGAAAAAAAGAGACCAATGATATACAATGACTAAATAACGTATTAAAACAACGCATGCCAAAGCAAGGTTTATCACAGAGAGACCATTGCAATACTACGGCAACTTAATACTTTTGTGAGTGAGAGTCTAAGCACGAGCTGAAATATCGCGCATCAAAAAACAAGTAAATCAAGCGTGTGGCCGACAATACACACGCCAAAATGATGATGAATAAAAGAAGCCATGTATCAGCGCTCTTTCTATTGGAGGCAAAATCACTTCTAGGAAAGTATTGCTATTTTATGTATTCTTGACTAGCAAGCGTCAATGTGACTCCAAAATACACTGACAATCTTTCAACAAACGCTTTGCCCACTTCAGCAGTACCCAGGATGTGTCAACCTTGCTGGAGTACAGCACCATGCAGCAATACTCCATGATCAGTTCGCTCAATAAACATGGTGCACGACTGTTTAAGCTCCAAACCACTGCGAGGGACTCCAGGAGTTTCACATCATCGGAGCCTCGCAAGACTATCCTATTGCTAGCAATGAAGTACTGCAAGCAAAGCTAAGCACCTGGATACAGCGGCTCCAGCAGGTTCCACACGTGGAAAGCCGCTATCTGAAGAGTGTCGAATGGGAACTGCAACTCGACACGCTCTGTGAAGCTGAGGACTCTGGGGGATCTGCCCAAAGTGTTGCCAGCAAACGCAATTGTGGCACAGCAGGGATGAGCCGCGGAACTCGACAGTGTGCAATTTCGGAAGTCGCACTACCAAGATCGTACATTGTGCTTATTGAAATACTATATAGAATACAAACATATTATATATATATATATATCATACTGTATATTTTTTGTCCAGCTTCAACTCCACATCATAAAAGTGAACAGGCTACAACTCAGACTATTCACAGGAACCGACTCGACACAAAACAAGCGGAAACGCGGTGCACAATGTGAGACCAATGGGAAGAAATGTGAAGAACAACACTTCTGGCATCCTTAGGTCCACTAGACTTCCACTGAAGGAGCGCAGTGGCAGTGAACGCAGCAACAAGAGTCAATGCTGCTAGCAAGGCCTTTCTTGGAAGGTGCCGAGGACTTCAGCCCCAACAGCAATGAACCCAGCATGAGCAGCTGCTGCGGCCAGCTGGCAAGGAGAAACTTACGTGCCTCACCTGGCAGCAATTCACTTTCGGAAAATCTCCTAACTGCTCAAAGGCCCTTGAAACGATGCATTTCTCTCGAAAAATCATCAAACGATTTTGTCAAAGGTGCTGAAAAACTCGTGGCTCCCTTTCCCAAGCCGCAGTGTGCAACAGCGCTCGAACGTGAATGCCTGGGAGCATTCGGTTGCTTGGGTCATGTTGGGGCCCACAACCCCAGCAGCAGTGGTTGTCCTACAAAAGCCCTCAAACTTGTGTCGGTGGCTTGAGGCCTCCTCCTGCAAGTTGTCCACTTCCAGTTGAAAATGCTTGATTATGCGATGGAATTGGAAGAATGTGTGCGGCCGCGCTTCGGCAACAGGAGGGCAACAGCGCAAAGCAACAACAGTTGAACAGTTGCCTTTGCTTTAATGCACCTATGAGACACACACACACAAAATACGCAAGGAACCGAATAAAATTGCGCGCTGAGGACCGATCCGAATCGCCCCAACAATGGGGTGAGCCATAGTGGTTTCTGCAACACAAATCCTGAGCCATGCGAAGTGTCTGGTGCAGTGTAGCCTATGTGAGGGGAAATCCAACTACCACAAGGTGCTGAGCGACATAATTGACAGCACCCATCCAGCAGTCTGCATCATCCTTGACAATAAACATATTTTGGTGGCTTGTTTACGAACAACAAAATCCTGGAACAATCAATCTTTTGCAGGGTTACAGTACCACATCCTCTGGTTTCCTCCTTTTGATTTCTGAAGTGCTGCGGACGATCAAAAGCAAACCAAACATTTTCACGAACCCCGACCCTCGACCAAGATCACGTCACCATGCGAATCTTGCTGAGCATTGAACCTTTTCTCTGGAAAGCACCTGAGAACAAGCTACTGGAAGCCGTTCCAAGTCCTCCAAAACCCTCCCAGCATCTTTTGCTAGGACTGGAGGACTTTAGAGCAGAAGTTTCCAAACGTTGAGTGGGACACAAAAGATCCACTGTTCGGACCTCTGTGCACCTGAAAGGCCTCACTCTGAGGGCTTGCAGGATTCAACGTTGCAGTCTTTGGGAAGGCAACAACACTCGCCAGGCCCCATCGATCCGTGGCAATTTGCCAGCACAGACTTCTCCAATAAGTCTCTATGTCTATTTAGGCGTGGTTGGCGCAAACAAAGCGCCACCACTGCATAGCCTACCACCCGGCAGGTATACCTTGTGATTCCAGGAGTGCCCCCTAAGGCCCTAAATCTTGTCTGGAACCAAATGCATCTGCATCTCCATAGTGCACGCGTGCGCAGTCGCCTACGTATTGGCCGTATTGGCTTTGGGCCTCGTTTTGGGCACTCACGCAACCCATTCCGAGCAAGTCATTTTGTGGCTTCTGGCGGCTCCTAACAGCATCTTTCTTGGGATCACCGAAGCCAAACGACCGGTGTGGCCTTTGTGAGGACCTGCGTGGGGGTAGGCGACGTGAGCACGGACTCACACGACTTGGGAACTTACTATGGGGACCCCTCGGCAGCGACTGTCAAGCAGGCCTTGTTTGCGGACCCCGCGGAGGCATGTTCCGGGACCGGCATGCAGAGAAGCCACGAAGGCTGGGGCATCTGTTAGTCTTGATTGGACGAGCTCTGCGCAGCAGCGATGTGTTTGGGAGAGGATCGACAAGGCAATGGCCAAGGCAGCTCTTCTGACAGCCAGGTTCTACATGTTGCCGGCAAGGGTCTACTGCAATTCCGGGGGAGTCGAACCCCACATGGTGCTTTGAGGAACGGAGGTTCGTTTCACCAAAGACGGCCGCCAAGACCAACGTCAGTTCTTGCAAGACCATGGAGGGAGCGCAGGTCATCTTGAAGAAGGCCGCTCAAGCTGAAGGCCCCACAGCCTGAGAATTGGTGGAGCCACTGCGTTGTTCCAGAAGTCAGGAGACATTGAGTTGGTGAAGCGCATGGGAATGTGGAGCACGGCAGCACAACGGCGCCTCCACGACGGGGGTGAGGTGCTGAAGAAGCTGTCGGGCAAGATGGCGCGCGTGAATGGGGAAGGCTCTGAGTTGAAGGTTTGGGGGGCTGGGGCTGAAAAGCCATGGTCTCTGCGCTGCTAGTGACTCAACATGGAACTTGCAAAGCCGCCTCAAAAGCCGCCAAAGTAGTATATAACTTCAAAAAGTGTCGCTTTTGAGCAGCGGAGTGGTGACAGCTGGCTTTTCCCTACGCGATCAAGTGCCAGTGAACTGGCAGTTCAGTGGGCCCACCCCTACCACCCTGCAGACTTTGGCCGAATTTGCTGCAAGTGACTCAAGATGGCAGGGTGGCCGCCCATGTAGGGCACTTTTGCGCCTGACGCTGCCTCCGTTTATTGCCGCCGTGTTGGGAACCCGTTGGCGCCGCATTCCCTGACGCTCCTTTCCCCACTGACGCCGCCTCCCCGCCTGACGCCGCCTAGCGACGCCGCATTCCCTGACGCCGCTTCCCCCCTGACGCCGGCTATTGACGCCGCATTCCTTGACGCCGTGTTCCGGTCTGGCGCCACATACCCCCCTGACGCCGCCTATTCATGCCGCATTCCCTGACGCCGCGTTCCGGTCTGACGTCGCTACCCCCTGACGCCGCCTATTGACGCCGCATTCCTTGACGCCGCGTTCCTGTCTGACGCCGCATACCTCCCTGACGCCGCATTCCATGACGCCGCGCTCCTGTCAGGCCGCGTTCCCCATTGACGTTGCGTGATTATATCCTTGAATCGAAATGGCCCTTGCGACCGGGGGCCGTTTCCAGGGTTAGAAGTTGGCAGCAGCGTCAGGCGCGAAATCTGTTGGCGTTGTGCTTTATAGCTTCGAAATACCCCGGACCTCTCCTGAGGTCATTCTCACCGTGTTTACAGTGACTCGGATCAACGGTTTATTGGATTTTATCTGAGCAAAGTATAAACATTCGTGAGTCGTCGGTTATTTTCGTTAAATCGGAAACGAAATTATGTGACGTCGTTGGAAATATGAAATTAAGTGACCTCGGGAAGACCTAGCACCCCAACCAGCGCGCGCACCCAGTTGTGGACGTGGCTTGGTTGGGGTGACCGTTGCGGTGAGCACCTGCATGGCGAGGCCGCTGTTTGAATCTTCTGTACTGGGAGAGATCCGGTTGCAGGCAGGACTGGATGCCTGGGAACTCACTGGGAACAGCATTGCGTATTCTCTTTTCGATCTCTCCAATGCTTGGGGGTGTTGACCCTAGGCTCATGTCGTGTGGGTTACAAGAGTTAGTTTGGCTTTGGAGGTGGTTCCAAAATCCGGTATTTGAGCTTTCAACTGGGGCTCGGTAAACCCGGAATAGGCGTCAAGGAGGCCTCGAACCAACCAACCGTCGCAGAAGCCTATTTCGACAAAAGAAAGTTTTTTGACGTGGGCTGCCTTTTCGAGCTGCTCGTCGCAGTTTCCTATACTGGGGCTCGGTAAACCTGGAAAACAGGTGCAGGAGGCCTACCTTTTCCAGCTGCTCGTCGCAGTTTCCTTACTTATACTGGGGCTCGGTAAGCCGGGAAAACGGGTCCAGGAGGCCCCGAACCAACCAGCCGTCGCAAAACACCATTTCGCAAAAATAGTGTTTTTTGATGGGGGCTGCCTTTTTGAACTGCTCGTCGCAATTTCCTTGCTTACTGGGGCTCGGTAAGCCGGGAAAACGGGTCCAGGAGGCCCCGAGCCAACCAGCCGTCGCAAAACCCCATTTCGCCAAAATAGGGTTTCTTGATGAGGCTGCCTTTTTGAGCTGCTCGTCGCAGTTTCTTTGCTTACTGGGGCGCGGTAAGCCGGGAAAACGTGTCCAGGAGGCCCCAAGCCAGCCAGCCGTTGCAAAACCCCATTTCGCCAAAATAGGATGTTTTGATGGGCCTGCCTTTTTGAGCTGCTCGTCGCAGTTTCCGTGCTTACTGGGGCTCGGTAAGCCGGGAAATCGCGTCCAGAAGGCCCCGAACCACTCAACCATTCTGAAACCCAACGTCGCCAATTCTTTTTTGCTTTCGGCCCTTCGCGAGCCCCCGCGTGAGCGGCCCAGCGGTCAGAAACGTGCCCTCGGAAGCGGAACGCTCGGGCTCAAACCCCCAGCCTTGGCAAGCTTCCCGTCTTTCCAGCAATGTGCTTGTTTGTGTGTCTTGTGCGCGCGGCGAGAAAACGGTGGTCGCTTAAATGAAGAGGGGCATGCTCTAACAAACATCAACCTTTTAGATTTGTGTGTGAGGGTTTTCCGTTGAAGCAACAGGCTGCCAAAAGAGGCTTAGCTTGCTAGTGGGACGATCTTACTTAAAATGAAGGGGCAAGATCTTAATTTCAAACCTAGGTCGTTAATTCAGGGTGACGTCGGTGACGTCGTTATAATTTGCCAAGTTTTTATTTGATTTTCATTGCTTCCCAAGATTAGCTTCCGTTCATAACCAAAATTTGTTCTTGTTAGTCTGACTTGAGCGCCATGACTGTCCGCCCTGGTTCCACGGCCAAATGATTTTACCTCCGCTTCACGTTGCGTCAAGTTTGGACAGATGAAGCAGCTTGCTCTGGCGGCGTCTGTGCAAGTGGTGGCTTCAAGCTCAACAAAGCATGCCTGGATATGTCTGGGCTATGGCTATGGCGGAACAGTCACAGTCAAATGTTTCGTTTGGACCGTGAAGCCATGAATTCCGAGGAATTCCACGGTCATATGAATGCGTTTCGGTTTTAGCTTTTCTGTCAGGAGCAGGAACACAGTTGTAAGTTGTAAGCCTCTACCCCCTTCGAACCAAACTTCACAAAATTTCTCTTTTACAGTGATCGCCAAAAGAAGATTTCGTCGACTCCTTAGCACTGAAACGGCCGAGAGCAGATCTGCAGAACATTGCAACATCTCCGGGTCCAGTGGAAATCGGTAGATTTCTATGAATCAACTGGGGTAAGCAATGGTTGCTTGCCCTTCGCCAGGGATCGTCGCCACCTTACCGCCCGAAACAAAGCATGCTTACAGTACTGTGACTATTCTTGATGATGCAATTCCCAATCACTGTGAATCTACGTGATTACACATGTGTAATTTCATTTTTCATCATGTTGGGTTTCAGAATACTAGCTTTCAAACGTTTTCAAAGTAATGCGGGTTGACCAGAAAAAACTGCCTTCATATTCTAGTTTCATTGGCACAGTACTCATTCGTATTCCTTTTATCTCCTTTACACTTTTACATCTTACCTCCCCAGTATGTTGCCACGCTCTGCATCACTCGGGCGCGCAAGGGATGAGGGGCATTTTCGGTTCCTGCACCAGCACCCGCTTCATGACTTCACGCTGAGGGTGTTCAAATTGGCGCCCAGTAAAATCTCTGAAATTGCCAGTTTCTAGTGATAAACTTAATACCCGTTGAAGATATTGTCACCTCAGAAAACAAATTAATTGAGCTGCGCAGCCACTTGGAGGATGAACAGATGCCAATGTATGGATGGACAAATGAAACCAAATCTTTGGTTCAAGACCTTCAAAAGACATGGACAGGTCGTTTTGCGTTTAGACCTTTTCCAGGCGCTCCTTGACCATCGCGGCCAAGGTCACGGTTGGCGAACCAATGAAGGACCAAGGGAGCACAAGTGAGCCTCCCCCGGGTTTGTCTGGTTCGCAAATTGCCAAGCCGCAAATTCAATTATAGATTATAAAGCCAAGGACCCACGCAGCATAAAACACCTGCCACAAAGGTATACTTGGCCGGCGGGACTTTGCTAAGTTTAGCTAAGTCTAACTTGGACTTATAAGTACTTAGTAAGTACTTAGCTTGGACTTAGCTCAGGGTAACTTAGCTTGGACTTAGGTTGGACTTAGCCTGGACTTAGCTTGGACTTAGCTAAGACTTAGAAGTCCGAGCTAGGTCGAAGCTAAGTGTTAGTTTGTTTGATCAGTTTGAGCTAAGTCAAAGCTAAGTCAAAGCTAAGTCTAAGGCAATTATTGAAAAATAACAATGAAAACTGAAAACCGAAAGCTCGGTCTGGGAGTGCGCTGGTAGACTTTTCTCTCGCGCGAGCATCAACAGTCATCATCTGAGCATCAACAGCCAGCATCAACAGGCATCACATAGTTGAAACTGTTTTTAATACATTGAAAAAATATAGTTTTTGGTTAATTACACTGTTAATACTATCATAGTTAGTGTATCACAGTTTAACTAAACTTATATATTGTCAGAAGTCTTCTGACAAATTGTTGTTGACATGTACTCTTTAAACAATATAATAGTGTCAGACTTCTCTGACATCTGTAAGAATTTTCCGACATTGGCCAGAATATTTTTCTGACAAATGTCAGAAATATTTACTATTTACACAAATATTTTCTGACATGTGCCAGAATTTTCTGACAAATTTTAGCTTAGATTTAGTTTTCGAAAGGCAATATTGTCATATTGTTCTGACACATTGTTGTTTACTTTTACTTTTAACAGGATATACTGTCAGATTTTGTCAGAATCTTCTGACAATTGTCTGAATATTTTCTGACATTTGTCAGATTTTTCTGACAATTGTGAGAATATGTTTCTGACATTTGTCAGTTTTTGATATATGTCAGAATATTTTCTGACATTTGTCAAAAATATTGAAGACAAGTTGAAAACTTGTCTAAATAGAACTGTGATAATGTTTAAGTCTTTGGGGAGAATGATTCAAAGACTTCAGGATGAAGACAATGTCAAAACTTTATATCATGTGACTGCTTGACGCATCCTATTTGCGCCAAGTACTCTATAGGATACCGTAGAAGAATCAACAAGCGGCCACGACGCGGAATGTAACAAAGAATAACGGCGCGGCCGTACGCTGGCTGGTTGTCGGTTGGTGGCTGCGTTCGACGCATTTTGGGTTGATTTTGCTTCAGTTTTTGAGCCTCGACTTAGCTTTGACTTAGCTTGGACTTATAAGTCTGAGCTAAGTCGAATCTAAGTCCTAGCTAAGTCTTGGCCCACTTAACTTTGACTTAGCTAAGTCAAACCTAACTACTTACTAACTCTTATAGGCTGAGCCAAGTCCAAGCTAAGTAAAACCTAACTTCTATAGAGGTTAGCAGACTTATAACGTTGGTTATAACTAGGTTAGGTATATGTATGTTATAAGTCCACTCAGGGCAACCGCCGGCCAAGTAAGTTATGGGCATCAACAATGCTTAGATTTCGTGTCAGAACTTTTTGTTTGCATGGCTTACGTGGCACCAGCACCTGGCGCAAACGAGGGGCGTGTGACACTTGCCTTGTGCTCGGTTACAACGAGGCATTGGCTGCATAATTGACCGTTGTTTTTGCGAAAAAAATGTTTCCATGTGTGAGGGGCGCGGAGAATTTGCATTCTTCAGTTGTTGCGGAAACCCCAAAATACTAAAAGCAGGGGATCATCGCAAGTCCAAACACCCGTGTAACATCATACACCTTCATTTCAAAACCTATAAACCCCAAGCACCACCAAATCCGGCGAAATCATGAACATTCCGTTCCTGAGGCCGCGGCCAACACAGATGTGCATACACGCCGCCTTTCACACCAATGCTCCCAGGTGATTCTTCACACCAACTTGTTCACACGCAGGCAAGCTTGCAAGCCGACTTGATGGAACTGCAGAGCGAGAAGCAAAACACACCCCCCAAAAAAGACAACTGTTCCTTCTCTGGATTGTAAGGAACCTGGTGCAACCCCACAAAGCGGACAAAAACCACAGCTACTTCACTGGCGTTGAGCAGGGCAGGACAGCTGATGCGCTGCTGTGTTTGGGCGCGCGAAGCAATCTGCCAAGTGGATACATAGAATCCACTGTATGCGCAAGGTCGCGCAGGACATGTCTTCAGGGAATCTGTCATCTTCGGGCCGTCTTCGGAGCTGGGGGCGTCTTCGGGGAATCCGTCTTCGCTAGG